AAGCCAAGAAGCAAACCATTGATTTGGAATATAAAGAAGCAAAAAACACCCAATCACAACAGGAAAAAGAAAAAAATTTTAAAAATGAGGATCATATAAGGAGCCTGTGGGACAACTTCAAGCATACCAACATTTGCCTCATGAGAGGGCCAGAAGGAGAAGAGAGAGCAAAAATTTGAAAACCTACTTGAAAAAACAGTGACAGAAAACTTTCTCAATTTGGTGAAGGAAACAGATATACAAGTCCAAGAAGTACAGAGAGTCCCAAACAAGATGAATCCAGAGATCCACACCAAGATACATCATCATCAAAATGCAAAAGGTTAAAGACAAAGATCCGGCTGGTGTGGCTCAGTGGTTGAGCATTGACCCATGCACCAAGAGGTTGCCAGTTTGATTCCTGGTCAGGGCACATGCCCAGGTTGTAGGCCCGATCCCCAATGCGGGGCATGCAGGAGGCAGCCAATTGATGTTTCTCTCTTTCTCTCCCTCTCACTTCCTCTCTAAAATCGATAAAGGAAAAAAAAAAAAAGAGAGAGAGAGAATCTTTTTTTTTATCCTCACCCGAGGACATTTTTTTGATATTTTGTTCAGATAGAGTAGGAGGGAGGGGGGGAGAGAGAGAGAGAGAGAAACATCGACATGAAAGGGACACATCAAGTGGTTGCCACCCACACAGCCCAACCAGGGCTGGGGACAAACTGCAACCGAGGTACATGCCCTTGGCGGAAACCGAACCCGGAACTTTCTGGTCTGTGGGCCAGTGCTTTAACCACTGAGCCAAACCAGCCAGGGCCATATAAAGAGTTTTGCAGACAAGAAAAAGCTAAAGGAGTTCACCACCACCAAACCAGTATTGTATAAAATGTTAACAGGTCTTCTTGAAGAAGATAAAAAAATATGAACAATAAAGTGGCAATAAATACATATCTATCAACAATGAGCATATCTATAAACAAAATGAGCAAACAACAGAAACAGACTCATAGATACAGAGAACTTTTTGTTGGTTGCCAGATGGGAGGGATATTGGGTGAAAAAGATGAAGGGATTAGAAAGTACAAATTGGTTGTTAGACTGATGAACCTCAAAGGGAAGCGGGGAGGTAGGGCGGGAAGAGAGAAACTAAAGAACTTATATGTATATATGCATAACCAATAGACAGATAATAGTGTGGGGAAGGCAGGAGGGGGGTGGGAATGGGGAGGAGGGGAAGGAGGGACATCTGTAATATAGTCAACAATAAAGATAAGTTTAAAAAGAAAAGAAAAGAAACATGTTGCACATGAAATAAAAAACGAGAAATCTTCAGTAAACGAACTAAATGAAATGGAAGCAAGCAAACTATGAGATACAGGGTTCAAAACAATGATTATAAGGATGCTCGAGGAACTTAGTGAGAACTTCAAAGAACTTTGCGAGAGCATCGGCCTGTGGAACAAAGAGTCTCAGGTTTGATTCTGGTCAAGGGCACATATCTCCATTGCAGTTCAGTCCCCTGCCCTGGTCGGGGTCATGTGGGAGGCTACTAATTGATGTGTGTCTCTCACATCTCTCTCTCTCCATCTCCCTCTTACATTCTATCTGAAAATAAATGGAAAAATATCTTTGCGTGAGGATTTTTTTAAAAAGAAAGAAATTGAAAACCTATTTGAAAAAATAATGACAGAAAACTTTCCTTACCTGGTGAAAGAAATAGATATACAAGTCCAGGAAGTCCAGAGAGTTTCAAACAAGATGAATCCAAAGAGGCTCACACCAAGACATCATAATTAAAATGCCAAAGGTTAAAAACCAAGAGAGAATCTTAAAAGCAGCAAGAGAAAAGCAGTTAGTTACCTGCAAGGGAGCGCCCATTAGACTGTCAGCTGATTTCTCAACCGAAACTTTGCAGGCCAGAAGAGAGTGGCAAGAAATATTCAAAGTGATGAAAAGCAAAGACCTACAATCAAGATTACTTTACCCAGCAAAGCTATAATTTAGAATTGAAGGTCAGATAAAGAGCTTCCCAGACTAGAAAAAACTAAGAGTTCATCATCGCCAAACCAGTATTACATGAAATGTTAAAGGGTCTTCTTAAAGAAGAAGGAAAAATAAAATAAAATATGAATAATAAAATGGCAATTAATACATATCTATCTATTTGAATCTAAAAATCAAAATAAGCCCTGGCCGGTTTGGCTCAGCAGTTAGAGCATCAGCCTGCGGTCCACAGAGACCCGGGTTTGGTTCCCGCTAAGGGCATGTACCTTGGCTGCAGTTTGTCCCCGGCCCTGGTTGGGTCGTGTGGGTGGCGGCCACTCGATGTGTCCCTTTCACATCGATGTTTCTCTCTCTCCTTCCCGCTCTTTCTGAGTGAAAAATGGAAAAATGTCCTCGGGTGAGGATTAAAAAAAAAAAAAAAATCAAAATAAGCAGAATAGAAACAGACTCATACAGAGAACATTTTGACAGTAGCCACATGGGAGGGGGGTTAAGGGAATGGGTGAAAAAGGTAAAGGGATTTAGAAGTACAAATTAGTAGTTACAGTGTAGTCATGGGAGTGTAAAGTACAGTATAGGGAATATAGTCAATAATATTCTAATAACTATGGATATGAGACTTTTGGGGATGATCACTTAATAAGTTTTATAATGTTTAATCACTGGGGTGTACACCTGAAACTGATATAACATTGTATGTCAACTATAATTGAAAAAATAATGATTTTTAAAACCAAGACAAAACAAAAAACAAAGCTAATAAATACTGAAAACTCATAACTTTCTAATTAGGTTACTACATTTTACTGTTATTGTGTTCACATCTCGTATCTAGAAATGCAATACAATAGAAATACAATACAATAGCAGCTACTATGCATTTCTTCCTAATTTCCCATTCAGTGATAGTTGAAGTAAACCACGATGGCAATGTTTACACCCTGGAAATTGGTAAATGCTACAAATCAGTCCTCTTCCCTTTTTCCCAGACTGCCAGTTACTAAACATTTGCTGGCCCACAACTGTATACAATTGAATTAAAGTTATCTATTATTTAAGTTATATATTAAGTTACACTTCCACCAGAAGTATATTAGATCTTGCTTTTAAAATGTTTTTTCAGCCCTGGCCAGTTTGGTACAGCGGTTAGAGTGTCACCCAACAAACCACAGAATCCTGGGTTCAGTTCCCACTAAGGGTACGTACCTCGGTTGCAGTTTGTCCCCGGCCCAGTTGGGGTTGTGTGGGTGGCAACCAGGTTGATGGGTCTCTCTCACATCGATGTTTCTCTCTCTCTTTCCCCCTCTCTCCCTCCTGCTCTATCTGAGGATAAATGCAAAAATGTCCTCAGGTGAGGATTAAAAAAAGTTTTTTCATAACATACCTTGTTGTTAATGAACATTTTAATTTGCATGGCTTTGTGTATCATTGCAAATGTCTTGGCCATTAGTACACTGTGAGTTGTCTGTTATTCCTTTGGTTTACTTTTCTATTGGGTTGACTGACTTTAAAAAGAAAAAGGCGAAGGAAGGTGAGAAAAAAGAATTTGGTGGTGTAGTGATAAATAACTCTTTGCTGTTTGTGGCAAATTTTTTTCTTTTAACTTCTCTTATGTTTTTTCTTTCCATACTGAGTATTTTTCTCTTTAGTCCAGTGTGCCCACTTTTCCCAATGTCACTTTGAGGGTATTATTTCTTTTTTGTTTTTTTCCATTTTTTGTTCAGACAGAGTAGGAGGAAGAGAGAGGAGAGAGAGAAACATCAACGTGAAAGGGACACATCGAGTGGCCGCCACCCGCACGACCAACCAGGGCCAGGGACAAACTGCAACTGAGGCACATACCCTTAGCGGGAACCGAACCCAGGTCTCACTGGATCGCAGTCCAATGCTCTAACCGCTGAGCCAAACCGGCCAGGGCGAGGGTATTATTTCTTAAGAAAAATATCTCTAAATGTCCTTAGAATTACCTGAAAGGCTGTACATTAAATGTTACCTTGTTACATTTCATTTCTGCCAGTCTGTGTGCTTGTATCTGTTTGTGTGTGGTTTGTGTGTGTGTGTGTGTGTGTATCACATGTTCTTGTATCTGACTCCCATGTCCTCCCTTTGTTCACACATAGTTTCCCCATGTGTCAAGTGGGAACTGAAGGAATAATGGGTGTGCTGGACCCACTGGGATACATACACATACACAGTAAGTAGAGTAGTTACTGCATTTTCTGAAGTTTCTACAATGACCATAATTGATTTAATGAGAAAAAAATTGACAAAGAAAGCAGTTTTGATATCTGTTTTCTTGTAAGAGTGGATGTAGGCACACTAGGCTGACTCTGGGGCTCCCTGGTTCACTTTGCTACTGACTTCATGCTAGGGCAGAACGCACCTCCTTCCACAAGGTCCAGAATCTGGCAAATGGAGTCTTCACCCCAAGCCTCCTGGATCCCCAACGTCCCCAATACCCTCTAGAACTGCTCTGCACTGTTGTGCAGGTTGGGCTCTGAGTAAATCCTATCCGCACCGGCAGGGGGCGCCATTGCCTAATTTTCTCAGGGGCTGTGTCCTGCTGCTCAGTACCCTGCCCTCAATTCTAGGTGGGTGAAGGACCAGGTCCTTTTACCTAGATTTCTGTGGAGTCCCCCAAAGCGAGCATCTCTGTGGAGGGGCCGGGCCTCGTCAGCTAGGGCAAGCCCATGTCTCCAGACATGCCATTCTGCTCCTGAGGGGATGAAGCCTTGGAACTGCGTCTCCGACTGGCTGCACCAAAGGCATACTAGGTTGAGGTTTACCATATGGCATTTGGGACCCGATGTACCAAACACTTCAGGTGACCTGAATCTCTCCTCGGCCACCCAGGGCATCCAGGGAATGCAGGCCAGGGGGCGCTGGATCTGACCTTGGCGGGATGTGAAGCTCAGGCCTCTTCAGACACCCACCCTTTGTTTGGTAGGAGGGGGGCACCTCTCCCCGACTTCCACCAAGCCCCTGGCACTCTCCGCCAGGGAACACACGCATGCATGCAGGCTGAGGCTTTCTTTTGGAGACTTTACTCAAAACACTGGGACGTAGCAGGAAGGAAGGCTGGGGGTTTCCGTGATCACCCACCCCTAGTTTTTAGTGATAGTTGGGGGCCAGCGCCAAAATCACGTGGCTCAGAAACTTGTCCAGCGAGGCCTGCAGGGCGGGGCTGAAGTCTCCGGGATAGTAACGAGCGAGGGTCACCAGCAGACAGTGGCACAGGAACTGCGGAGAGATGGAGTCGACCCCGCCGAGATCCAGCTGTCCCCCACACTCTTCCCTGGTAGGAACTGTCCCCACCTCTGGTGAGACAGTCTAGCCCCCGCCTGCATGCTCACCTTGAAGTTAATGGGGTTCACTTTCAGCTTGTGTGCGTGCAGGTCGCTCAGAGCCGACAGGGTGCCAGGCAGGTCGTCCAGGTGGTTCACGGCCAGGGTCAGCGCGGCGGCCACCTTCTGGCCGTGGGCTTTGACCTGGGCAGAGCCGGGGCTCAGGTCCAGGTGTAAGAAGTAGGTCTTGGTGGAAGGGAAAGCCAGGAAGGTCCTGTGGGAGGAACGGTGAGTGAGGTGCGCCCCTGGGGTTTGGGCTAGAGGAGGGAAGCATCCGGAAGGGCAGGAACCCATCCCCCGCTGTGGGCAGGAAGGCATGTGAGCCCTGAGGGTGCTAGGGTCTCTGCACCTCTCCAGGGCCTCGGTGGTGTAGACTCCGACGTTATTACTCAGCTTTCTCCACAGGGCGCGCACTGCCGCCTTGTCCGCGGCGGACAGCACCATCCTGGAGCCCTGGGCCGCCGAGCAAGTCCGCCGAGCAAGTTGAGCGCCAGAGGCCGCGCCTGCGCCAATCCGGGCCTGCAGGTCCCCACCGCGTCCAGGGGGCGCCACGCTGCAGAGCCTCCATCTGCTCTGACCTGGAACCTTCCCAATTGCCCTGGGCCCGGAGGTCCTCACTTTTGTAGTGTTTGATATATGGAATTTTTTTTTTATCCTCACCAGAGGACATTTTTCCCAGAGGACATTTTTCCATTTTTTGTTCAGGTAGAGTGGGAGGGAGAGAGAGGAACAGAGACAGAAACATCGACGTGAAAGGAACACATCGAGTGGCTGCCACCTGCACCACCCATCCAGGGCTGGGGACAAACTGTAACCAAGGTACGTGCCCTTAGTGGGAACCAAACCCGGGTCTCTCTGGACCGCAGGCCGACGGCTCAAACCGCTGAGCCAAACTGGCCAGGGCTAAATACTTTTATATATTAAAATATTTCCATATATCGTTATTATTAGGTAACACAAAATTTTAGCATGGATTTTAGCATTGCATGTCAACTTATTCTACCTCCCTCCCAAGTCTATTATGACACCTCCCTGAGTCTATTTTCTCATTTATTGTATAAAATAAATATAATTTCTTCTTCCCAAGGTTGTCGTGAGAATTAAATGGATAATAAATGTTAAGTACTTCACTTATAGCAGATGTTTTTTCCAGGACAGTGAACATTTATTGAGTGCCTAGGATGTATCATAATAATAATAGCTAGTACCTATGGGGCACTCATTCTGTGCCAAGAACAACTGTTTTTGTTGGTGGTGGTGGTGGTAGTAGTGGTGGTAAAATTTATATAACATAAAATTTGCCATCTTAGTCATTTTAAAGTGTACAATTTGGTGTCCTTAATTACATTTACTCTACTGTTATCCAGTTCCAGAATTTTTTTATCATCCCAAATAGAAACTCTGTATCCATTAGCAGTATTCATAACCCTTCTCCAGCCCCTGCCCACTACAAGTCTCTACAGCTTTGCCTATTCTGGATATTTCATATGAATAAAATTATGCAGTATATGGTCTTTTGTGTCTGGCTTCTTTCACTAAGCTAATTTTCAAAGTTGATCCACCTTGTATTATGTGTCAATACTCCATTGCTTTTTATGGCTGAACAACATTCTATTGTATGGATGGACCATATTTTGTTGGTTTATTTGTCAGTTGATGGAAATTTCTGTTGTTCTCTCACTTTTCTTTTTTATTTCTTTTTCTTTTTCTTATTAATTTATTTTTGTTACAGATGTTTCTCCTTTTACCCCCATTGACAACCTCTTCCTGATCACCGTCTCATTTTTCTTAATAAAATAAGGAAGACTGCCTCTTACTGAGAACTCAGACTGTGCCACCAGCATGCTAAAAGCATCACAAACTGAAGCAGGGGACCTGCTGTCTCGTTTCCTAAAGGCCACTCTTGAACTCAGGGAAGAAAGGACACCACTCTCAGTTGGGGCTGCACAGCGGCCCTCACTCTGAGGCTGCAGCACTAGGGGCCTGTTCTGTGGGGAGTAAGCACATCAGAGTACAGGCTCCTTGGCCCTAGCTCTCCTCTCCCCTGAAGCACTGTGGGGAATCGAGGTGCCGGCCTGCAGTGGATGCCCAGCTGGGCCCCAAATCTGGGCCTCTAGACTTGTGATGGCTCCAGGATGGCAGTATCGAGAGTGAGCATCCTAGAGGTGGACCCAGGATAAAAGAGTGCCTCCAGGAAATTGCCTGGCAACTGCAATGCTCAAATCCAATTTCGTCTAGACTGTGTGTGTATTGGGGAGGCACTTGGTGGAGAGGCGAGCATTCAGTTAGACTGAGTGTGACCCGCGTGCTTCCCACTGTGCAACTCTGAGAGGAGCCATGGGAGAGCTCAGAGGTCCTAGGCTGGAGGCCAGTGAACTCTGACTGCAAATGCCATAGAATGTAAAGCTGGAAAACAAAGCAAATTCATATTGAGTAGCAAAGGCTGGAGAATGAAATGTAGGAAGGGGAATGTATGCAACAAAGGGTGACAGTGGAGGGTTGCCCAGTGAATAACTGGCAGTGACATCAGGACTGGTTCCACTCCCTCCTCTGCCCTTTTATCCCCTTCCTTCTCTTCATCTGCTGCAAAGAGGCCCGTGGTCCAAAGCAAGGAGAACCACCCTCACCCCTGGCACATTCGAGGGCACACAGAACCGAGGCCACACAAGTTGCAACTCACTTAGACTTTATTCAAATATCAGGAAGTGCGGGTGCGCAGAGCGCAAAGGGGCCCCGACCTGGGGTAGGGATAGCCGCGGCTCCAGCTTAACGGTATTTGGAGGTCAGCACGGTGCTCACGGAGGCAAAAAACTTGTCCAGGGAGGCATGGGTGGGAGGGTTGAATTCATTGGGGAGGTGGGTGGCCAGAGTCACCAGCAGGCAGTGGCTCAGGAGCTGTGAAGAGAGGCGGTATCAGGGGCCGCACGCACTCCCCTGTCGGGAACCCACGGGAGCCCTCGCCCAGACCTCTGCGGGCCTGGCCCGCCAGGCCCGGCCCGGCCCCCTTGCTCACCTTGAAGTTGACAGGGTCCACACGCAGCTTGTAGGCGTGCAGGTCGCTCAGGGCCGACAGGGCACCAGGCAGGTCGTCCATGTGGGCCACAGCGTTGGTCAGGGCATCACCCACCTTCTTGCCGTGACCCTTGACCTGGGCGGAGCCGTGGGACAGGTCGAAGTGGGGGAAGTAGGTCTTGGTGGTGGGGAAGCTCAGGAACATCCTGCGAAGAGAAGAGCGTGAGCGGCGGGCTTGAAGGGGGCGGGGGGGGGGGGCGGCGCAGGGTCATGAGCCTTGGATTCGGATGAAGGCACGGGCTGGCCTCTTTGGGCAGGTCCGCAGTCTGGACCCTGAGATCTTAGGGATGTGGGCGCCAGCCAGGCCACAGCAAACCGAGGCGTTGCTGGCAGGCCCGTGCGCAGTGTTGCGACCCCGGGTCGAAGCAAGAAAAAGGAGGTCCTCACCTCTCCAGGGCCTCGGCGCCATACTCGCCAGCATTGCCGCCAACCTTACCCCAGGCGGCCTTGACGTTGCTTTTGTCGTCGGGGGACAGCACCATGGTTGCTTCTTTCTGAGTCTGTGTATGGACCAGAAGAGTGGCAGGTGGGGAGCGTGTGGAGCTTTTATGCCTGGGGCCCAAGGGGCACGCCCTCCCGGGCCGCGCTCATTGGTCGACTCGGAGCTGGGAACACACCACTTGACCAGCAGGGCAGGGGGCGCCCGTGCACAAATCAGCATCTGGCTGGAGCTCCGTGGGCTTTGCTTCTAGTTTGCGGAGGAGCCCAACATTCCTGGGCCAGGATATTTCTCCCTCCCTGGATGCGGCTGCTTCTAGAAAGGCCTGCCTAGCCCTGGCCGGTTTGGCTCAGCGGTTGGAGCGTTGGCCGGGTTCGGTTCCCACTAGGGGCATGCACCAAAAAAAAAAAAAAAAAGGGTTAGAATCCTACACAAAGACACCTTTGCTCACAAACTCCTGCCTGGAATCCCTCCTGCTTCCCTTCAGTCTTGAGTCTTCCAGTGCTCCCCTCAGTGTCATTGAAAAACAAATATTGAGGAACTTGATTCACATGGCTGGGGTGGGACTTCAGCTTCTCCCGTGGTGGTGGTCCTGCAGCCCCATCTTGGGAACTCTGAGGTGGCCTCCCCTACTCAGGATCCCTATGTGATTGTGTGAATGACTGTCTCTCTCCCTGACTGACCAAAATGGTCCTGGTTCACAATGACATCACCATTCCCCATCCCCCAAATTGTGCCTGACACAAGACTCACTAGATCAACAGTAGCTGAATTGATAAATAAAGCAACTGCTTAACAAGAGCTGAACTTTCAGCCTAGTTAGGGACATAGATGTCATCAAATCATCACACAAGTATGTATAGGCTCAAACCCCATTAAAGGTCCTAAGAAAGCATGAAGGGAGTGGATGAGGCATTCAAAGATATTAGGGTTAGTCTGAGGATCATGGTGGGCTTAGCTGAGGAGGTGAGACTGGAGGATGAATAAGTATTAGGTGGAACAGGGTGGAGGGGGAGCCCCCCACTTGGCTGGTAGGAGGTCAAGGGGAGAGAGGGAGGGCCTCTGTGGTTGCAGAATGGATGTGGGGAGATGTGGTGGGGAAAAGCTGGCCAGACTCTGCAGGATGGAGGAAGGAGGGACTTCTGGAGAAGCAATGAGAAGGGGCAGGAATACCAGCTGATGCAGTCCCCTTACTGGTGAAACAAGTGACAGTCCCTTGGTCTAGTTGGCGGGAGGGAATTACTAAAGGTTAAACATCAGAACTGGGGAGAAGTCATTGATATGCCCTTTCCTGGGAGCCTGGAGGAAGACTTAGCTTTGGGGAGTGGGTTGGATGGGTTTCATTCAGCCCACCCCTCTGCCCCATCCCTCCCCTAGGACTTTCACTCAAGACTGCCTTGTATGTCCAGGAGAAACTGATGGTTAAACTGACTTAGACAGAGAAGAAAATAGCTCAGACATGCTTCAGCAGCAGTCCCTTGGGCTCTGTCCTCTGTGTCTGCTCTTCTCATTTGGTTCCTCCTGGACCCTTTTCCCACTTCATTCCATTCCCCCCTCCTACTACTCTTCACTCTTTTCCTGGTTCTGTCAACAGCCTCAGGCCCATTTTGACATCTGAAAAACAAAAAGGATAAGATCCTGGGGGCTTAGAAGCACCAAATTCCACTCTTCAGGCCTGGGACCAACCCCTGCTTCTGCATCTTGCTCCAATCCTCCTGCCCCTTGAACTTTTTTTTTTTTTTTTAAATCCTCACTCAAGGACATTTTTTGTTTTTTGTTCAGATAGAGTGGGAGGGAGAGAGAGGAAGAGAGAGAGAAACATCGACGTGAAAGGGACACATCAAGTGGTTGCCACCTGCACGACCCAACCAGGGCCGGGGACTAACCGCAGCCGAGGCCCATGTGCTTAGTGGGAACCGAACCCGGTCTCCCTGGACCGACGCCCAAACCGACCAGGGCTTTTTTATTTTATTTATTTATTTATTTTTGTTTTTATCCTCACCCGAGGACATTTTTTCTATTTTTTGTTCAGCTAGAGTGTGGGAGGGAGAGAGAGAGAGAAACATCGACGTGAAAGGGACACGTCGAGTGGTTGCCACCCACACGACCCAACCAGGGCCAGGGACAAACTGCAACCGAGGTACATGCCCTTAGCGGGAACCGAACCCGGGTCTCTCAGGACCGCAGGCCGACGCTCTAACCGCTGAGCCAAACCGGCCAGGGCCGACCAGGGCTTTTTTAAAAAATATTTTTTCTTAATTGAATTTACAGAAAGAGGAAGAGAAAGGGAGAGAGAGAGAGAGAGACAGAAATACCCATTGGGGATCAAGCCCACAACCTGGGTATGTGCTCTGACTGGGAATCGAACCGGTGACCTCTTGGTATATAGGTCGGTGCTCAATCACTGAGCCACACTGGCTGGGCCCATTGAACTCTTTTAAGGCAAGACTTAAAGAACTTATTTCAGTCAATGGCTTACACTTTTCATATGGGAAAAGACAAATAAATGGTTTAACAGAAAAATTGACAAAGGAAATTAACAAAAATATAGAAATAACCAATACATTGCTGAAAATGAGACAGTTGAATAAAGTGGCTAGAAGAGATGTAGAGAAGACAAGGTTGAGAGAGAAGAAGAGCAGATTGCAGACAAATATTTTAAATGTAGCTGTGTCCCCTCAGCACAGGATAGGAGCCAGTAGGCTCAGTCCCAAACACTTGACCTGTATTTTTCTGCAGAAGGAGGAGTTGGGGGGGAGGAAGGCAGGGCAGAGAGACATTCTCTCCCTCCTTTGAATAACATAAAAAGGGTGTGTGTGTGTGTGTGTGTGAAAGCATAACTGGATTTTAACTTACTACTTTGTTGTTTTTCTCCTTTTAAAAAATATGTTTTTATTGACGTTTTATAGAGAGATGAAGGGAGAGGTAGCAACATGGATGTGAGAGAGAAACATCAATTGGCTGCCTCCTACACGCCCCCTACTGGGGATCAAGCCTGTAAACCAGGTATGTGCCCGACTGGAATTGAACAGGGACCTCCCAGCTCAATCCACTGAGCCACACCAGCAGGGCTGTTTTTCCCTTTTAAATATAAATAATTTGGACTGTGAGTCTGAGGAAAGTGCATGATGGAGAGTGTGAAGCAACTCCCCAGCTGTTCAGAGTCCCATGGCCCCCAAAAAGTGGTGAGCAAGGGGTTTGCCACCCTCCTCAACTTTCATCGAGCATTGTATGTTGCCCTGGAGATCAGGGCTGGGCTGGGGCACTGATGGTGTGCTTCAGGTGGCTACAAGCCTGGTGACGTGTGCAAGATTCCAGTGTGGAGTCCAGGGCTTCAGCATCTGGGAGACGGACCTATCCAATTACATAGATCTGTTGGGAGACCCCAGAAGCCTCTGGCTACAGAATAGGGGCCGGGGGTTGGTGATGAGCTGGGGAAAACAGATTTGGGAACACAATGAGTTATTAATGTGCCTCCTGAAGTGCAGAATAAGGGAGCAAGTTACTCTGCTAAAGTGGTGCCCCCAGTGCACACTCACTGCTGCAATCTGTTCATGCTCCTCTCTTGTTTCACAGACTGCCGGCAGCAGAAAGGTTTTGTGACCCAGGAAGGATGCTTGGGACTTTGATCCCCATTCCAACACACCTTGCTTCTGGTAGGGAGGCGGTGGGACACTCATGGAAATTGTCTAGCACCTGCCTTTGTACCAGGAGTGGCATACCTGGGGTTTGTTTTTCTTTGTTTTATTTTGATCTAGATTGTTTGTTTAGCAGTGATCAGTCAGAGAGACTTTAAAGTGGATGGCAGTTCTTAACACTCCCCACCTCTACCCCAGAGAGGAACCCTTGGAGATCTGGCACATCCTAGGACTGAAGTTTGGTTCAGCACATTCCTGGAAGCCTCAACCTTAGATCCCTTCCCTCCTTCTCCCTCCAGTTCCCTCTCTTGGCCTGCCACCGAGAGGCCCAAAGCAAGGAGAACCACCCTCACCCCTGGCACATTCGAGGGCACACAGAACCGAGGCCACACAAGTTGCAACTCACTTAGACTTTATTCAAATATCAGGAAGTGCGGGTGCGCAGAGCGCAAAGGGGCCCCGACCTGGGGTAGGGATAGCCGCGGCTCCAGCTTAACGGTATTTGGAGGTCAGCACGGTGCTCACGGAGGCAAAAAACTTGTCCAGGGAGGCATGGGTGGGAGGGTTGAATTCATTGGGGAGGTGGGTGGCCAGAGTCACCAGCAGGCAGTGGCTCAGGAGCTGTGAAGAGAGGCGGTATCAGGGTATCAGGGGCCGCACGCACTCCCCTGTCGGGAACCCACGGGAGCCCTCCGCCCAGACCTCTGCGGGCCTGGCCCGCCAGGCCCGGCCCGGCCCCCTTGCTCACCTTGAAGTTGACAGGGTCCACACGCAGCTTGTAGGCGTGCAGGTCGCTCAGGGCCGACAGGGCACCAGGCAGGTCGTCCATGTGGGCCACAGCGTTGGTCAGGGCGTCACCCACCTTCTTGCCGTGACCCTTGACCTGGGCGGAGCCGTGGGACAGGTCGAAGTGGGGGAAGTAGGTCTTGGTGGTAGGGAAGCTCAGGAACATCCTGCGAAGAGAAGAGCGTGAGCGGCGGGCTTGAAGGGGGCGGGGGGCGGGGAGGCGGCGCAAGGTCATGAGCCTTGGATTCGGATGAAGGCACGGGCTGGCCTCTTTGGGCAGGTCCGCAGTCTGGACCCTGAGATCTTAGGGATGTGGGCGCCAGCCAGGCCACAGCAAACCGAGGCGTTGCTGGCAGGCCCGTGCGCAGTGTTGCGACCCCGGGTCGAAGCAAGAAAAAGGAGGTCCTCACCTCTCCAGGGCCTCGGCGCCATACTCGCCAGCATTGCCGCCAACCTTACCCCAGGCGGCCTTGACGTTGCTTTTGTCGTCGGGGGACAGCACCATGGTTGCTTCTTTCTGAGTCTGTGTATGGACCAGAAGAGTGGCAGGTGGGGAGTGCGTGGAGCTTTTATGCCTGGGGCCCGAGGGGCACGCCCGCCCGGGCCGCGCTCATTGGTCGACTCGGAGCTGGGAACACACTACTTGACCAGCAGGGCAGGGGGCGCCCGTGCACAAATCAGCATCTGGCTGGAGCTCTGTGGGCTTTGCTTCTAGTTTGCGGAGGAGCCCAACATTCCTGGGACAGGATATTTCTCCCTCCCTGGATGCGGCTGCTTCTAGAAAGGCCTGCCTAGCCCTGGCCGGTTTGGCTCAGCGGTTGGAGCGTTGGCCGGGTTCGGTTCCCACTAGGGGCACGTACCAAAAAAAAAAAAAAAGTTAGAAAGACAGAGAGAGAGAGAGAGAATCGTGCACAAAGACACCTTTGCTCACATGTCAAAAACTCCTGCCTGGAATCCCTCCTCCTTCCCTTCAGTCTTGAATCTTCCAGTGCTCCCCTCAGTGTCATTGAAAAACAAATATTGAGGAACTTGATTCACATGGCTGGGGTGGGACTTCAGCTTCTCCCGTGGTGGTGGTCCTGCAGCCCCATCTTGGGAACTCTGAGGTGGCCTCCCCTACTCAGGATCCCTATGTGATTGTGTGAATGACTGTCTCTCTCCCTGACTGACCAAAATGGTCCTGGTTCACAATGACATCACCATTCCCCATCCCCCAAATTGTGCCTGACACAAGACTCACTAGATCAACAGTAGCTGAATTGATAAATAAAGCAACTGCTTAACAAGAGCTGAACTTTCAGCCTAGTTAGGGACATAGATGTCATCAAATCATCACACAAGTATGTATAGGCTCAAACCCCATTAAAGGTCCTAAGAAAGCATGAAGGGAGTGGATGAGGCATTCAAAGATATTAGGGTTAGTCTGAGGATCATGGTGGGCTTAGCTGAGGAGGTGAGACTGGAGGATGAATAAGTATTAGGTGGAACAGGGTGGAGGGGGAGCCCCCCACTTGGCTGGTAGGAGGTCAAGGGGAGAGAGGGAGGGCCTCTGTGGTTGCAGAATGGATGTGGGGAGATGTGGTGGGGAAAAGCTGGCCAGACTCTGCAGGATAAAGGAAGGAGGGACTTCTGGAGAAGCAATGAGAAGGGGCAGGAATACCAGCTGATGCAGTCCCCTTACTGGTGAAACAAGTGACAGTCCCTTGGTCTAGTTGGCGGGAGGGAATTACTAAAGGTTAAACATCAGAACTGGGGAGAAGTCATTGATATGCCCTTTCCTGGGAGCCTGGAGGAAGACTTAGCTTTGGGGAGTGGGTTGGATGGGTTTCATTCAGCCCACCCCTCTGCCCCATCCCTCCCCTAGGACTTTCACTCAAGACTGCCTTGTATGTCCAGGAGAAACTGATGGTTAAACTGACTTAGACAGAGAAGAAAACAGCTCAGACATGCTTCAGCAGCAGTCCCTTGGGCTCTGTCCTCTGTGTCTGCTCTTCTCATTTGGTTCCTCCTGGACCCTTTTCCCACTTCATTCCGTTTCTGGGCAAGGGCAGGTACCTCGGTTGCGGTTTGTCCTCAGCCCTGGTCTGGATGGTGCAGTAGGCAACCAGTCGCTGTGTCCCTTTCACATCGATGTTTCTCTCTCTCTCTCTTTCTCTCCCTCCCATTCTATCTGAAGATAAATAGAAAAATATCCTCAGGTAAGGATTTAAAAAAAAAAAAAAGGTAAAAAACAATTATCGTAGTCACACAAGGTAGTTTCTTTTTTTTTTTTTTTTTTAAATTGATTTTAGAGCACTGGCCGGTTTGTCTCAGCGGTTAGAGCGTCGGCCTGCGGTCCGGAGAGACACGGGTTCGGTTCCCGCTAAGGGCACGTACTTCGGTTGCAGTTTGTCCCCGGCCCTGGTTGGTCGTGTGGGTGGCAGCCACTCGATGTGTCCCTTCACGTCGATGTTTCTCTCTCTCTCCCTTCCTCTCTCTCTCTCCCACTCTATCTGTACAAAAAATGGAAAAATATCCTCGGGTGAGGATAAAAAAAAAAAATTGATTTGAGAGAGAGAGGAAGATAGAGGGAGAGAGGGACAGAAACATCAATGATAAAGAACACTGATTGGTCACCTCCTGCATGCCCCCAACTGGGAATCAGGCCCACAACCGGGGCATGTGCCCTGACCAGGAATCGAACAGGTGACCTCTCTTGTGCATGGGTCGAAGCTCAACCACTGAGCCACACCAGCCAGGCAAGGGTCCACCACCACCCCTCCCCCTCCCCCCGCCTGTCTATGCCTTAGACTCAGATCACACAGCTTGTTGGAGTGAACCCAGTTGGAAACTTGCTGCCTGCCTGATTGTGGCCACTTAGGAGTTCCTCTGTACCCCCACCCCCAACCCAGGAGATTCAGAGCCCAGGGTAAGGGGTGCTGCAGATTGAGCGTGGTGGCGATGGGGAATATGGGAGGAAGCTGAAAGGAACAGAGACAAGGATCCAAGGAGCCCTGGACCCCGAACTATTTGACCTTAGGCCAGGAACTTGGCCCCTGTACCTGGGTGCCTGCGTCCGTCTGCAAAGGAGGCTGAGATTTCTGCTCGCAACTCTCGGTGCGAGGTGGGGTGGAGGAAGAATAAATGAATGAGTGAATGCGATGTGCTTTGAGAACTGTATGGTACAGCACGGGTGCCCGATGCGCGCTGAAACCTTAGACGCTTCCCCTATTCGAGCACGCGCTCTGCCCCACCACACACTCCCTGCCACAGGAGGGCAACTGTTTTGTTCAAGCCTTCCCTTCGGGTATCGTGTCCAGACCTCGGATTGTCAGCGCGGGAACCGTCCTCATCATGGAGAGCTCCCAGGGTCGCTCCCGAGCCCCATTCCCTTGTCAGCTACGTTTTGGGGTCACTCTCTAAGATTCCAGGCGGCTCCTGGCGGGACCCAGAGCTTCTCTGCTCAGCAACAGTAACGTCTGTTCAAAGCCCCAAAGATTACACATGCGCAGGGTTTCACCGTTTGAGGCCTGTTTATTGACATGTAGGGCACGGGACTTAGCGGTACTTCTCCGTTAGCACTATGGCCACGCCGGTCAGGAACTTATCCCACGCCGCCTGCATCTCCACCGTGAACTCGTCCTGTAAGTGGGAGGCCAGCACCACCTGGAAGCACTGGATCAGCAGCTGCGAAAGAAGGAGGGTAAAGGGTGACTGCTACCTCCAGTTCCTTCCAGAACCCCCCAATCCTCAGCTTCGCGCGAACCCCCCCTGCGGCCCAGGCTGCCTCACTGGGAAGTTGGCGGGGTCCACGCGTAGCACGTGCGCGTGCAGGTCCGCTAGCGGGCTCAGGACCGCGCGCAAATTGTCCACATACTGAACGGCCACGCCCACCGCCTCTAGCAAGCGTTGTCCGTGGGACAGCAGGTGCACCTCGTCAGGAAAGGCACCCAGGTGCTTGAAGTAGAGCTTGGTGCTGGGGTACACTGTGAAGAGCCTGCGGGAGCAGGTCAGGGAGGAGAGCGGACAGCGTGGGGTCTTGCAGCTCCTACACCGCCAAGACCCCTGGAAACCACCGTTTCTCCTGCGCCCCACCCCCACCCCGTTTTAGGCCTAACACTCCTGTCTTCACCTCCTTGCGATCTTGGAGACTTACCCCATACTCACCTGAGTAGCAGCTCTGCCCCAAAGGGCGCTTCGTGTCCTGCGATCAGGTCCCAGACCTGCGCGACATGGGCGCGCTCCTGAGCGTTGAGCATGGTGCTGGCGTGACGTGCTTTGGGAGCCCCCGGCCGCCGCCCTGGCCTCCTTATAGCAGCACCCGCCCACCTCCACCCCGGCTGCACCCCGCCCGCTTTTAGATGCCGGAGCGCGGCGGGAACGCGGGAACCCTCGCCTTGCACCGGGAATTGTCGCCAGCTCAGGTCCCCACTGAAGTGGTGGCCACGGCCTCGGGGGTCCCCGGATTACTGGCACCAACGCCGCTGAGTGTGGGTGCCTTTGCTGCAGACTTTACCGGGATTTGTAATGACTTCCTTGCGGGCAAAGTTACTGCTTCGCTCGCCAGGAGGGAGCCCATGAAGGGATCAGGAGAAAGAGCGCGGGGCAGGGAACCCCCTTGTCCTCGAGGGGTCAGGAGGGGAACCGCATCAGGGGTCCCCGCAGAGCGGAGGCCATGACATCAGGTTTTGAAGAAAAGTTCCCTGAGTCCTCACACGCAACCCACAGGCTGAGTGAAGCGACAGTCTTTGGGCGATTGGTAAAGGCGGTTTGAAGGGCAGACGCACCTGGTGAAAACAGCGTGGGCTGCCGGGGCGGCTCGGCCCTCTCCGGGTTGCTCTCCGTGGTCCGCAGCCCGAGGACCGCCCCAAAACGCCCTGGGAGTGGCCTCCGGTCTGGGAGCGACACTGTTTTCCCTCTGTCCCCTCCTTTCCCCCAGAACTGAGGACGCAGGACCCAGCTCACTCTATTCTCATCCATTTATTGGAGAGTATCATGAGGAACAGTGGGAGGGTTCAGAGGTAGAAGAGAGGTCGCAGCCTGTCCTTTGAGGTCCCTCGGCTGCTCTCAGCGGTACTTCTCGGTCAGGACGCTGGACACAACGGACAGGAACTTGTCCCAGGCAGCATGGGCGTCAGCCGTGAAGTCCACGGGGAAGTGCGAGGCCATCGTGACCAGCAGACAGTGGGACAGGAGCTAGGGGGCGGGAGGGCTGCTCAGCGCGCCGCGCGGGGCTGGAGTGGGGCTGGGGTGCTCTTCGGGTGGGGAACCGAGCCTCTCTCGCGGAGACCTTTCCCCCCTCGCACTCCTGCCCCGCCTCTGTCCTGACCCGGCCTGGACCCCGGTCCCCGTGCCCACCTTGAAGTTGACCGGGTCCACGCGCAGGATGTAGGCGTGCAGCTCGCTCAGCTTGGACAGGGCCCCGGAGATGTTGTCAATGTTCTTGACCGCGTCTCCCACGGCGGCCACCACCTTGGAGCCGTGCGAGCGCAGATGCGCAGAGCCGGGGTGCAGGTCGAAGTGTGGGAAGTAGGTCTTGGTCTGGGGGTAGCTGGTGAAGAGCCTGCGGAGAGGGGGCGTGGGGTGAGCACCCGAGGAGAGCAGCCTGTCCACCTCCCCGCAGCCCTCCCATCTTCTCCGAGCTCCAGGAATCGGAGTTAAATTCTGCCACAGGCCTTGCAAGCTTGGCAGGTCCCACTTCTCTCTCAGCCTGCAGTCTCCCACCCAAGCTCCACCCTCCTCAGCTAGAGGCCCCCACACACCCTTCCCACCCAGACCACAGCAACTCCTGGCCTGGCTCCTTGCTTCCAACTGGGTCTGCACAGCAGTCTTCAACTCCCACTGCCTTGGCAATGAGCCCCTTTCACCTCCTCTGGCCAGAGGGGCCTCCTTCCACCCTTGATCAGGCTTCCCACTTCACCTTCTGCCAGAAATAATGCTCTCTCCAGTGGCATCCCAGGAAGGCTCTTCAGAGAAACCTCTTTTGCCCACCGTTTCCTCAGGGTCAGAGACCCCAATATCGGTGCTGGTATCAACCTGGCTGCTTCAGAAGGCACTCCAGGCCTTGGAAGAAATGCCATGCTCCTCAGGCCTCAGTGAGCCCAGGGTCAGTCAGATGTCTGTGCAATTAATCTTCCCTAACTCACTGTCCCCTCCTCAGAGAACCCCTGAACTCACTGACCCCTCCTCACTGTCTCCAATCCTCACTAACCCCACATTGTCACCTACCTGGCCCCACCCCAGTCTGTCTGGACTCACCTCTCCAGGGCCTCAACACCCATGGCATCTGCCTGTGTGGAGATCTTGCTCCACATGGACATGATGGTGGTCCTCTCGGCCTTGGTCAGAGACATGGTGGTGACTGAGCTGGAGCTGAGTGAGCCCTGGACTGGCCTCCATGGTGCTCAGCCCCCAGGGTCCTCTTATATACATGGAGCTGGGCTGGGGGCCAGGCTATGATCATTTGATCAGGAGAGAAAAGGGGTCTCTTATCAGCTTCAGTGACAATGGGCAGTCAGAGCCTTAAGGGACAGGTGGTGTGAGGGGCTATCACTCCAGCCTCCCTCCCTGGGCTACAACCAGAGCCCAGGTTCCAGGAGATAGGGGCCCAGGCTTGGGCTGAGGGTCCACGTGTCAGCCCCGCCCAGAGACTGGCCTCTGTAATGATTGTCCCTGACCTCCCTGTCCTTGCAATGGGAGAGGCCCTGACAGAAGCATTCTCTGTTCCTTAAGCTTCTGTAACATGACCTTATGAGCTCCAGTTTACAGATGAGTAAACTGAGGCCCACGGAGGGAAACTGAGATCAGGTGTCACAGGGTGTGAGTGACAGTTCTGATTTCAAACCCTCTCCCAACTCTGCTGTTTAACCCCATCCTCACCTGGATGAGGTTCTGTCTGTGGTTCTACAGTCAAGTACCCCAACAACTGGGTTGGGGGGTACTTTCCAAGATGGGCACCCAGGCTGGGAGGAAGCTGGACTCTTCATGCAAAGCCTGGGGTCACAGGAGCCTACAATTCTCTCTGTCACATTCTCATCCCAGCCTGTGCAAGACCCCTCTCCTGCTCTATTTATATCTTTTACCCTCAATCTATTCCCTTTCCCCGCTCTCCCCCATAGGCAATCATGCTAATGCACTTAATGTGTTCCTTTTCCTTAGTATGTGCTCTTGCAAAGGGTGCATTTTCATGTAGATATTTTTAAGTTAAACAAAAAACAGCTTGATTTAAAAATTTTAATTATAATCGCCCTGGTCAGTTTGGGTCAGTGGTTAGAGCATTGGCCCACAGACCAGAGTCTCAGGTTCGATTCCTGGTCAAGGGCACATACCTTGGTTGCAGGTTTGAACCCCGGCCTTGGTCAGGGTTGTGCAGGTTGATGTTTCTCTCTCTCTCTCTCTCTTCCTCCCTTTCACTCTAAAAATCAATGGAGGCTGCGGTAGGAGGCACGCTGGGGTCCAGGTGACGAGGAGGAGGAGGAGGAGGAGGAGGAGGAGGCACGTGGAGGGGAAAAGGCTGCCAAAACAAGCCGGGAGAGCGTTTCCCAAAGTGTATTCTGTGGAACTAGCACCTACTGTGTTCTCAGCACCGTGCCACCTCTAGCAGATGATCATGGGAACAGCAATAGTAGTCATGTAAAAATCTTTTTACCGAAAAAGCTGCTTGAATGTCTGCCAAAATGTTCAAGTTTGCCTGAAGAGAGGCACCGTTGGAACACTAATGAGAGATCGTGATGCAGCGTCCTTTTGGATTTCTTTGTAATAATGTGAAACCCTTCACCTTTGATCCCCTGACCTGCATTACCTCGGTAACCATTTCATTTAATTAAAAAAATTTTTTTTCTTCAGATAGAGCAGGAGGGAGAGAGGGAAGATGAGGGAGAAAGAAACATCAATGTGAGAGAGACACATGGAATGGTCGCCACCCACACGATCCCACCAGGGCGGGGCACAAGCTACAACCATGTACATGCCCTTAGTGGGAACCGAACCCGGGATTCTCCAGTCTGTGGGCCGACACTCTAACCATTGAGCAAAACCGGCTAGGGCTAATTTCATTTTTAAATTTTGGTGTGTAAGCGGTAACATTTCATCTCTCAAAGTGTAACACGCTAATTTCCTCAAATTGAGATATCCCTTTGAGGGATAAATTTGCAAAACGCTGTCTTCATTTTCTGTATTAAAATTCATTTCAGCTTTTAAAGAAAATAAAAAAATAAATAAAAATCAATAGAAAAATATCCTTAGGTGAGGATTTAAATAAATAAAGTAAAAATAAAAATATTTAATTATAATAGACATTTCTTTATAAACACATCTTTTTTGAAATATAGAATTTTTTAATAAGAAGGGGAAAAAAGAAGACATACACTATGATAGTGTTCTTTAAATAGAAGAAAGGTCTGGCTAGAACTGCACCAACCTGGTAGCAACAGTTATCCCTAAGTGATGAGGGTTAGGGTTATTCTTTTTTGTGGGGAGGTGGATTTTGCATGTTTTTCACTGGGCTTCCACATTGAGCACATGTTACTAAAACTATTAAGTTCATGAGGTGGGAGCTGAGCTGGGGGCTGCCCCGGAGCCTGTCCTGTCTTTGTGTCTGAGCCAGGAGTTTGGGGCCTCCTGGCAGAGGGGGCTGGCAGACCAATCCTAGAGCCTGGGCCTGGGTCTGGTGGGGAAGCCACAGAGCTCCTCCTGTCACACATCCCCCCATAGCCACCTCGCAGGCTGCCTCATAGGAAGTACCCAGGGGTGCTCAGAGAAAGAGGCAGAACCTCCATCAACAGCTCTGTTTCTGGACCGAGCCCTAAGACTTGTGGTGTGTACCAGTTTCTTCCTATACTGGCTAACATTCAGTGTTATGACTTTTATTTGTTTGTGGTAATATGTGTAGTGACACCTGTTTTTATTTTTTTATTTTTTTTTTATTTTTTATTTTTTATCCTCACCCGAGGACATTTTTCCATTTTTTGTTCAGGTAGAGTAGGAGGAGGAGAGAGGAACAGAGAGAGAGAAACATCGACGTGAAGGGACACATTATTTGTTGTTAAAGTTGAGCTTTTTCTCATAAGACAATTAGAATCTATTTGTCCATTTTCACTGGTCAAATGGACTAGGGTGTCTTTCTGTAATTTGGCTTATTATACACACACACATACACACAGTCTCCGCACACTCGGGCTTTGCTTTCTACATTTTCCTTAGCACATGTTTTGTGCGTGTATTTAAAATTTTTTATTTAAAAATTAAACGCATTAATTGTAATAGCAATCCTGGCAAAAGCACAGCTTAAAAACCAAACTTTTCCTTTTCACCTCCTCACTTTCAGAGATAACCAACCCTTTAACCATTTCCTATGACTCGTCAACAAATGGCAAATATGTGTGTAATAACCTAAACCATGCCCGATCACTTGCATGACATTGTATGTTAATCTCCCCATTCAGAAGTCTGGGACTGCCAGGGTCCTCATTCCCAGCTCCAGAGGCTCAGACCAGAGTCCACAGTCCTCCTGGACCTTCCTCTCACCCCCGAAACCTGCCATGGCTGCTGATCGGTGAGGGAAAATTTCCTGTCCCCTCCTGCTTCCTGTCCTCTCTCCTTCTTCCTGCCCTCCTAGCTCTGCTCCCTACCTTCTGTCCTCCTGGATCCCCCCTGAGGCCTCTCCCCTGAAAGCTCCTTCCCTAATATTGTCACTCCCTCAGACATCACCATGTTAATAGGCCCACATTGACCCCTCCCTTGATTTATTTATTTATTTATTTATTTATTTATTCATTCATTCATTCATTCATTCATTCATTCTTATGGAGGATATTTTTCCATTGATTCTTAGATAGAATGGAAGGGAGGGAGGGAGAGAAAGAGCGAGAGAAACATTGATATGAGAGAGACACATTCATCAGTTGCCTTCTGCACAACCTCAACCAGGAACAGGGATCGAATCTTCAACCCAGGTACATGCCCTTGACCAGGAATTGAACCCAAGACCCTTGGGTCCTCTGGCCAATGTTGAGCCAAACCGGCCAAGGCTTAACCACTCCATTTAAAATTACAACCTGCTCTCACACCTGCTTGTCCAATCTCCCACCTGCTCTACTTTTTTTTCTACAGGAAAACAAACATTTTTTGGAGGACAAAGAGGATAAAAGGGGCCAAATGTATGGTGATGGAAGGGGACTAGACTTTGTGTGGTAAGCACACAATAGAGTATATGGGTATCATGTTATAAAGTTGTGTACCTGAAACTTACATAATGTTATTAACCAATGTTACTCCCCCCAATTTTTTTTAATTAGAACTGAAAAGAAAAGAAAAAAATGTTTTTATTAAACTTTTTTTTTTCCTTTATTGATTTTAGAGAGAGAAGAAGTGACAGGGAGAGAGAGATAGAAACATCGATAAGAGAGAACATCGATTGACCGCCTCCTGCATGCCCCCCACTGGGGATCAGGCCCACAACCTGGGCATGTGTCTGACCAGGAATCGAACCAGTGACCTCTTAGTGCATGGCTCGATGCTCAACCACTGAACCACACCACCCGGACTGTTTTTTTCCCCCCACTAGAAAGTGAGCTCAGGAGAGCAGAGGGTTTTTATTTCAGTTTTATTTACTGGTATATTCCAAGCATCCCAAACAGTCAGTACTGCCCAGAGCAGGCACCCTCAAAGTACTTGTTGAGTGAGTCAGTGATCCTTGTGCCTCAACCTAACGGAGCAGGTTAGGTTCTTGAGCCGATGATCCTGCCTATCCTGCCTCCTAGACACTGAGCTCAGGGCCAGGAGCACCAGGAGTGCTTGGTGGGTACCTGCCTGATGCTGGACAAGGAGCTGCCACCTGTCTTCATGGATCTCTGACACACTTTGTCTTTAGATTCACCAGCACAAACAGGCACTGATTCTTTGTAATGTGAAGGGTCCCTGGAATTACCTACCGTCATAGGGAAACCAAGGCCAAGAGGGGAGGAAAGGCTGATCATGGTCACAAAGCCCATTGGAGGTGAGGTTAGGGCCTCAGGAGAGAGATTCCTTATATCCAGGCCTCTCCCTGGGTCTCTTCTCCCTGCTAAGTCCAAAGGCCCAGCTCCTGGCAGGCAACTCCAGGACAGGTAGGCACATGGGACCACGCCCCACACCCATACTCTTGGGCAGGAGTCCCTCTGGGTCAGAGTCCTCCCTGGAGAAAGGGGACCCATGTCAAGCACATTCCTGGGACAATATCTATCTGCAGAGTTGAGACCACCCCCCAAACCCTAAAGTCAGGCAAGCAGCAGGAGCAGCCCCGGGCGGGCTTATGAATGCCGCGAGAAGCTCCATTCATTCTTCACAAATTACACTTGGCCATCTATCCTGCGCCAGGCCAGCTCTAACAGCTGGGGACACAGCAAGCAACAAACAGACCAAAACATCTGCTCTCTGGAGCTGATGTTCTGGTGATGGAGGTATGCAAATCAGTACGAGTGCAGCAGATAAGTACACCAATGAGAAAGAGAAAAGCAGCCCCTGATACCTGGGCTCTAACTGCAAAGCCTGTGTACTGTTGAATAAAAACT